GAGGCCGGCACTTGGACATTCCGCGTGTGCGTGCATCACGCGGGTGCCTACGAGAGCCAGGCAGCTCGGCGGAAGTGCGCGCGCTCACAGTGTCACCGCGCCCATGTGATCGAGAAGGACGGCTTCCCGCTGCGCGCAGCTCACGCGGCTGATCGCGCGGTGGGCTGGCGGAGCCGGTCCGCGACTCCCCATCGAGATGGCGAGGGCGGCGACCAGCGCCCAGGAGGCGCGAGGCCAGAGAGGAGGAGTGAGGAAAGTGCGGCTCGTCGCGCGCCGGCGGCCGCCAGCCGCAAGGGCAGCCCAGCCAAGGCCGAGGCGGACGCGGTCTGGCTCATCCACGTTCGTGACCCTCTGGCGCCAGAGGGGTCGGAGTGGGACGCGTACTACAGCTTCCCCGCCCGCTTCATCGGCCCGACGAAGAACGGCAAGAGCGACGACCCACGCACGGACGTGGAGGCGATGGGCTCGGGGCTGACCTTCGAGATGTGGGTTGCCCGATGTGTCATAGGGTTTACCCCATCTCTATTGCGCGGGATCGGACTCTGGCGGCGCAGAGGGCAGCTGAGGCAGAGAGGGCGGTTATGGCAGCGGCTCGAGCGGCGCCGCTGCCGCGCAGGTCGTTGCCCAGCGATGCCCAGCTTGGCGATCCGATCCCTCCGAGCGGGCCGGACAGGCGCGCCGGGGCTGTCTCCGACGACGAGAGGTGGGGAGGATGGACCCCACAGGGCCGAGAGGCCACTACCCCGGGCGGCGCAGGTGCGGCCGACGCGGTGGGAGCGGGGCCCGCCCAGGCTCCAGCCCAGGAAGGGGGGCCGGTCAGGGATCTGGCCCCGTGCCTCAACCCGGGGTGCCCTTACCTGGGGCACAGCGCCCCTGGGAGGCGATGGAAGCCGGGCTACTGCTGCGACAAGTGCGGGGGCCGCCGCCACGAGCAGGACTGGGCCGCAGGAGGCGCCACGCACTACAAGTACTGCGAGAAGGCGCCCCACGGCCGCGAGGGAGAGGAGCAACCAGGAGAAGGAGGTGGAGGAGGCGGCGGAAGCCGCAAGAAGAAGAAGAAGAAGAAACAGAAACCTGCGCTGGACGACGCGGCGGTGGAGGGTCGGGCGAGGGTGTTGGCGGCGCCACACGATGCTGTCGAGGAGGAGGAGGAGCCGTCACCCGAGTGCCCACCTTCCTCGCCACGTGAGCTGAGGAGGAGGAAAAGGGACGCGGAGGCGGAGGCCCGCAAGGACGAGCCGCGTATCAAGCTCGTTGCGAGGATGCTGCCAGCCAAGGTGAAGGAGGAAGTGAAGTCTGAGGATGAGGGCTCTAAGACGGCTGCAGCTTCGTCGTCAAGGCAGGAGACGTGCGGCGGGGGTGGCCGAGGGGTCGACCCCGAAGCTGCAGGCCGCAGGTACAAGGAGCTGGCGGAGCGCGTGGAGGGTAGGCGCACCATCGGGAAGAGCGCGGCGAACCAGGAGTACCGCCGCCTTTTGGATCATGCGGCGCACGCCCTAGCACGGGCTCAGGAGTTGCGCCCGCAGGTGCTTGAGGAGAGACACGGCGGGGCCGCCACGCCCGAGGGTCAGGAGCGGTCTAGGTCGTCGGAGGAAAGGAGACGCCCAGCGAGCCCGGCAAGGAGGGCTAGCTCAGTCCCCCCCCCGGCCTACGCGGAGCATTGGCGTGCCGCGTGCCCGCGTCAGGGAGCCCATGCCGATGCCGTCACCCAGAGAGAGGACAGTCTCACGCAGCCCGCCCAGGCGCAGTGCCACCCCAGAGGACGATGGAGGCGAGGATGATGCTGCGAGCTCTGTCGACACGGAGCTGCAGGCGGAGTCGGGGGAGGCCGACGCGGGCACGGGCAGCGAGGCCAGGATGGCGGCGCTGAGGGCCTGGGCCATTCAGATCAGGCGCGATGAGGACGACGCGGCGGAGATGGCCAGGAGGAACGAGGCGTGGCAGAGGCCAGGGACGCCACGGGAGGGCCTCAGCCGGGGGCCGCCTAGGTCTGAGCGTTCTCCATCGCCTGGGCCATCGGCGCCGAGCTCCCCGCCGCTCCACACATCGCGGCAGGCCGAGGCGGAGGAGCGCCCGGCCTACGCGCCGCTGCCCGGCGAGGACGTAGAGATCAACCCGCGCGCGGTGGCGCGCTACCTGGCGGACAGGCGGAGCTCTGGCAGCGCAGGCCCGGGCGAGAGGGGTGTTCGCACCCATCTCGAGGCCATGGCACGGGATGCCATACATGGCTCAGGCCGCCGTCGCGATCGGGGTGGGGATCGCAGGCGCGATAGCGGTGGAGGAGACGACCGCAGGAGCGGGTGCCTTGAGCAGGCGCAAGCTGAACAGGAGCTCGAGGCGCTGGTGAGGTGGTGGAGCTACCCCGAGCAGAGAGGTGGGTGGCTCGACTGGGCCCTGGCAACCATGTGTGCAGGCGAGGGGCATGACCGCAGATCGGGGGCCACCTCGCATAAGGGCAAGAAAGGCAGCAAGAAGGTCCGCGGCACGTACGAGAACAAGCCGCCCAACCTCCTTGCACCAGAGGCAGTCCGAGCGAGTGCCCGCCCGGACGACCTCACTCTGACGGACCTCAAGACGCGCGAGGACTGGGAGAAGGCCAAGCTTGAGCTCATTCTCGACAAGCTGGCTAGCTCCACGATCAAGTCGTACAGCACTGGCTGGAGGTGGTGGACTCTTTTCTGCCGCACGAGGGGAATCAGTCCGCTTCGCGAGATCACGCCAGAGAGCAGGAGGAATGAGGAGGAGCTGCTGCTGGAGTTCGTCATCCACTTGGCGCGCCGAGGCTGCAAGAAGGCGGGCACCATCAAGCAGTGCCTGAGCTCGGTCCGAGCCCAGCACCTCGCGCTCGGCATGGGCGACATCACGGAAGGCGCTGGTAGGCTCTGGATGGCGATCGACGGGCTCAGAAGAAGGGATGGCGGCACCAAGCGCAAGAAGCCAGTCACTCCCCGCTTGACGAGGTGGATCAGGCGGAAGCTGCAGCCAGAGAGGTCGAGAGAGGGCGCAGCTCTGTGGGCCGCGGTGGCTACGGGCTACGTCTTCCTTCTGAGAGCCAGCGAGTACGTCTCGAACGATCAGAACGGCTACATGGGCAACAAAGGCCTTCGGGGAGCTGACGTCACCCCCAAGGCGAGCGGCGAGCCGACCCGCGCGTGGGGCGAGGCGAACGAGGTCGTCATCAAGATCCGGGCCAGCAAGACCGATCAGTACAACAGGGGCGAGTGGCGCAACCACTTCCGTATCGTGGTCACGGAGAATGCAGATCGAGCTGAGCACATTTGCGTGGTGGAGGCGCTCGAGATCTATGCTGGTTGGGCCAACGAGAGGTTCTCGGGCGCGCAGATGTACGACCCCCTGTTTGCTCTCGACGACATGCGCTTGGCGACGCGCGCTGACGTCCAGCGCGTGGTGATGCAGTCGGCGGTGGCGGAGGGCATGGACCCGAACGACCTGGGGTCGCGCAGCCTGAGGATCGGAGGAGCGTCGGCATTGCACGCGGCATTCAAGGACGCCGCTCTGGTGCAGCGCTGGGGCAGGTGGAACAGCGACGCCTTCCAGGGGCACCTGTGGGAGGCGCGGGGCATGGCAGAGGGGGTTGCCAGCAGTATGGCGGCCACCGACATCACGATGGTTTGAGGAGTTGTGCAGTCGCGTTGGCCGGAGGCTCAGAGCGCGTGGGCAGCAGGGCCGATCAGGCCAGTGCCG